CATCTGTACAAACAAGATGGCAAATCAACTGCAGGCAACTAGTTCAATTTCAGCGACCCAACTCAACTAATCGGATCGAATCACCATCTCAAATATTGAAAAATTTAAAAAGATTACCAACATTTGAATTTCAAGTTACATTAGAATTTTTGTACCTTCACTTTGACGCGGTAAAAAACAGTAAACTATATTAAAGCTATGGTTAATCTACGGTCTGGCACAATCATTGGCAAGGAGATTTGCGACAGTAGGAAGACATCATGCAGAAAACTCAGTAGGAACTGCAACAACAACTCGATGCCCTCCACAGAGAAAATGCAGAACTCTGAGCAAGATAAATTAAAAATGTGTACAAATGCACTCTCAGATAAATTAAATTATTTATCCTAGTTTCATTTTTAATTATTTGATTAGTTGGGATGCAATTTGATTTGCCTGAATTTTCACTTGTATATAACATTTTTTATAATTTGGACCGAGTTTGTACAGAAAAATCCCATTTCAATTTCATTTTCAGCTCAAGAGTGAACAATCCATATTAAATTTGATTTGAGCTGACTACTATATAGTGAAGAATGAACATAATGTATCCAATCTGGGTAAAACCCAATTATTTTATAAGGTTGTTATATAATTGTTTAGTCAACATGATTTAAAACTTAAAATTTTTATTTTATTTTTATATTTTAATTTTGTTATTTAATTATTTCAATAGCAAAATTCTTATGGGTTAAAGAGACCGGCCAACGATGAGATGCTTGATTCCATATTTGTTGTTAAAAAAGATTGATGCCTTGCGTCTCGTGATATGTTGTTCTTTTTCCACCGCCATGATATGCTTTCCCCTGTTTCCAAATATTCCAATTTCCCGCCACTTTACTTTATTCTTTTCTTTGAGGCATCCATTGGTGTTGGTAACTGCTGCTTTTACGTAAATTATGTGACTATACGCAACACTTTAAAATTTCCATCAACTTTTGCTATTTTCTTAGGCAAATCATATACTTGAAAAACTCATATACACTCTCTTTTCAACCTTCACAAAAAAAAAAAAAAAAAAAAAAAAAAATCCTATTCCTCTCTCTCTCTTTTCATATACACTCACAAATTTTATCTGTTTTCATCAGAAGCAACATTTCTCACAAACCCATTTTTCATAATCAATTCTAGATAAAAACGGCTCACAGAATTCTTGATGAGATCCGCAAGACGTGAGCGTCCTCGTATACTATGTGTGCCTTTGAATTTCACGACAGTGTAAATTAAGGTAAGAATTAGAGTTTTGCTTCTCATCTATTTTCTTCAATTTCTTTTCTTATATATATAATTTTTTTTTTTTTTTGATTCATCGACAAAAACCACACTTACATTAACGCTCACTTTTGTTCATATGGAACTTGAACATGGACCTTTTATTTTTAAAAGTGAGAAATAAAACTCTAATTCTACACTTTTGTATGTATTTCATACACTTTCATTCTTCCTTATTTTTTTTCAACTTCTTCCATGAATTAGTTATTTGATTGACATTTTTCATCAGATAATTATTTTATTTCAGTTCGATTTCATGCGAAAAAAAAATAAAAAATAATAATAATAAAAGAGAGAAAACAGTGAGAGGAGAGGATATTTTTTCAAAAAAAAAAAAAAAAAAAAAAAAACCTCTTATTCTTAAGCGTTAGTTTTTTTTTAGAATCGTTCACTACAACACCACTCTTATTCTTATGTTGAGTTCCAATCACCATTGCGAATAAAGTTAAAGCTAGATTTCAAATTAAACATCGTTCAATTCCAATTGGAACCGGGTGCTTCCAAACATAGCTTTGAGAGAAATATTAAAGCCACATCATCTCTCTCTTTTTTTTAACTGTAAAAAAACGATGTTAATAATAAATTAAATAATGCAGTCATTAGATTGTCACCTAATTAATAAACTCATTTAAACTAAGATTGTGATTCAGAAAAAGCAAAACGTACAAAATCATGTAATTATGGATTTTAATATAAGGGATGAAAGTGAAGGTAATAAAGCTAGCATTAATTTTGTATTTATAAGAACAATGTGATAGAATTTAAATTATATACAGAATTTTTCATTTCTATTACACAATGCACATGTTGTGTTTTTCCATTTTTCTTTTGCAATTCTTCTCAATTTTAAGCAATAACCAATTTAACTGATCAGAACTGTCTGCAGTTTTTTAAAACTGCCGGGAATGGAAACTATGACAGTTTTTTAAAAACTGCCACCAAATAACATAATTCTTGTGGTGTGACTTGAACAATCTAAATTTTCAATTTCTACTAACGTAGAGATTGAGATTAAAAAAAATATATATAAATCTATATTGATTGTCGGTAAATGATCAATTGATGCTTTGCTTGTCTGATTTTCGATCAAATACTTTTTTCCATGTGCTTTGGATGATTTTCTCCTAATTTTGTGGTATTTATGGCCGACACCAACACTAGTACTTTTCAATAACTCTACCCTTTGGTAAAGTATGTCCAAAGGATTTTGAAGCTCATGCTCTTAGCTTGGTTTGAATGGGATTAGGTGCAAGCAAAACCTATTTTGGTTTCATCATATTGCTTTCGTTTCACAAACCGATCCATGGAGGTTGCGGGGATCTTTCTTGGGCCGATGTTTGAGATGTCGCTTGAAAAGTTGGTCTCTCATGCGGTGTCAAACTATGCCCGTCGAAAGGGAATCCATGGTGAGTTGAAGAAGCTGGAGGAAATGCTGCCCATATATTCGTGCTGTGCTCGCTGACGCTGAGGAGAAACAGATGACAAATGAATTAGTCAAATTGTGGATGGAGGATCTCAACGACTTGGCTCTCGATTTGGATGATTTGCTGGACGACTTTGCTACTGATACTTTGCGACGCCAGCTCATCATGCCAGAATCTGAAGCTAGCAGCAGTACTACTAGTAAGGTACGAAAACTACTCGTCCCAACTTGTTGTACATGCTTCAAGTTTGATCACAACATGATGTCTAAGGTAGAGGATATCACTAAAAGATTAGAAGATATTGAAAAACGAAAGAATTTCCTCAATTTGAGAGACAATGCTGAAGGGATTGTTGAGCTCAGGACAATAAGAGAAGGACGGGAAACGACTTCTTTGGTCTACAAATCTGAAGTTTATGGCAGAGTACAAGATCAAGAGGCTATCGTTGCGGAGTTGTTGAGGGATGAAGTTAGTGCTGAAAATTTGTGTGTCATTCCCATTGTGGGCATGGGAGGCATTGGTAAGACAACTCTCGCGCAGCTCGCCTATAATCATGAACGTGTAGAGGGTCGTTTTGATGTCAAGGCATGGGTTTGTGTTTCTGATGATTCTCTCATGCATATGTTCATAGAGTGACAAAGGCAATTCTTCAGGAAGTCACTTCAGGAACTCACGATTCCATGTCTCTGAATATGCTTCAACAGAAACTGAAGGAGAACTTGTCGGGGAAGAAGTTTCTTCTTGTTTTGGATGATGTTTGGAACGACAAGTATGATGACTGGAAGCTCCTCAGACTTCCTCTTGAGGTCGGGGCACCTGGGAGCAAAATTATTGTCACAACCCGCAATGAAACCGGTTCATCAACCATGACTCTGTCTCGGTTGGCTTGCCATCTAAAAGGCCTGTCGGAAGATGAATGCCAATCTTTATTTGCCCATCATGCACTCGGGAAAGGAAACTTTGATGCAGATCCAAGTCTAAAAGGAATTGGTGCAAAAATAGTGAATAAATGTAAAGGCTTGCCCTTGGCTGTAAAAACACTTGCAGGCCTCTTGCGGACTAAACGCCAAAGTGAGTGGGTAGACATATTGAATAGCAAGATATGGAATTTACCCCAACAAAGTGGTATTCTTCCGGTCCTTCAATTGAGCTATCATCATCTCCCATCTCATTTGAACCAATGCTTTGCCTACTGTGCAACATTTCCAAAAGACTATGTATTTAACAAAGCTGAGCTAGTTCTGTTGTGGATGGGGGTTGGCCTTTTGCAGCAATCAAAAGAAAAGGATCGAATGGAGGATTTTGGCAATAAGTGTTTTGATGATCTATTTTCAAGGTCATTTTTCAACAATCTGGTGGTAGTAAATCATTGTTTGTGATGCATGACCTTTTACATGATTTAGCTATACATGTTCCTGGAAAAATATCTGTTCGGTTGGATAAGTTAGAGGGTAATGAACAATTTGAACGAGCTCGACACTTGTCATTTGTTCGTCAAGAATTTGAAGTCTTTCAAAAGTTCAGGCCTCTTTGCAAAGTTCAGCATCTGCGAACTCTATTAGCATTACCCGTTCAGACATATGCTTCGACAGATTGTTACTTAGCAAAAAAGGTTTTGTTTGATTTATTGTCAAATTTGCAATGCTTAAGGGTGCTATCGTTGTCTGGTTATTTCATAACTGGGTTATCAGACTTGATTGGCCATATGAAGCATCTCAAGTATCTTAATTTATCTAAGACTTCAATTCGATCGTTACCTAAATCAGTCAGTACCCTCTACAATTTACAAACATTGTTATTGCGTGATTGCAAAAATCTTTGTATGTTTTCTCCAAACACTGAGAATTTAATTAATCTACGCCATATTGACATTGTTGGTACGTGAAATTTACGAGAGATGTCCTCAGGTATTGGTAGGCTAGAGAATTTGCAAACACTACCAAAGTTTGTTGTGGGCAGCAAAAATAATGGGGCAAGACTCAATGAGTTGGGGAATCTGAGTCTTTTACGGGGGAGTATTTCTATTGAAGAGTTGCAAAACATAATAGATGTTCGAGATGCAAATGAGACAAATTTAAGGAACAAGGAGTGCCTTAATGAAGTAGAGTTGGCATGGTCTAGTGAGTTCAATGATTCTCGAGATGAAGACCTTGAACTGGATGCGCTTGACACGCTGCAACCTCATGTAAACTTGAAAAGGCTCAAAGTTGAGTTCTTTGGGGCAGGGAATTCCCAAGTTGGATAGGCATCCCATCCTTTTCTGAAATGGTGAACTTGAGTCTTATAGGCTGTAGGAAATGTAGATCTTTACCACCACTCCAGCAACTACCCAAGCTCAGAGAGTTATACATTGAAGGTATGCATGAAGTACAACATTTGGGGGATGGACTTCCTTTTCCCTCACTGGAGATGCTAAAATTTGAGGACATGCCAGCATGGAAAGAATGGTCTTTTTCTATTTCCATTGGTGTTGAAGAATCTCGAAGTCAATTCCCTTGCCTCCGCGAGCTCAGTTTGCGTGGTTGTCCCAATTTGATTACGGTTTCCCCTTTAAGGCTTCCCTCTCTTCAAAAATTGTACTTGGAAGAGTGTGAGGAGGTGGTGCTAAAAAGTATAGTTGGCGTGACCTCACTAACTAGCTTGGAAGTTGTGGATATTAGAGGGCTGTCTCAGCTGGAGGAAGCATTGGTGCAGTCTTTGGTAGCACTTGAAAGTCTAGTGTTCGAAAAATGCAACCAGCTGATGGCTTTGTGGCAAAATGGCGGCGAGGTTGCACAGAAAAATAATCTTGTCCGTTTACAGAGACTGAGAGTTGCGTCGTGCCCCCAACTTGTTTCCTTTGGAGAAGAATTACATGATGAAGGGTTGCCTTGCATTAATCTTCAGGAATTGTATATAAGAGATTGTGAGAATTTTGTGTGCTTTCCGAAGGCAGGTGTCCCGCACATGCTTAGATTATGTCATCACTTGAAACATTAAGGATCAAGAAATGGCCAAAAGTTGGAATGTTAGTTGGGGGTTGCGTAAATAATAACAATTTTGCTAGTCTCCGTAATCTGTATATATCTAATTGCGATGGTGTGGAGTCCTTGTCGTTCCTAGAAAGAGGCTTACCCAACCTCAGATCACTTGTAGTCTTTAATTGCGTGAACCTGAGATCCTTGCCTACCGCCAACCAGATTCTTCAAAACCTTGAATCCCTTGAAATATATGAATGTCCAAGTCTCGAGGCCTTTCCGGAAAGAGGCTGCTGCTTGTCCACCCCCAACTTGAGATGGCTTTGGATCATCGGCTGCAATAATCTGAGGCGGTTGCCAATTGATCAGATTCAAAGCCTCTCATCACTTGAAAACATTAGGATATATAATTGTCCATGTCTTGGGGAGTCTTTTAATCAAGGCAATGGGAACGGGAATTTGCCTCCCAACCTTATTCATCTTACCATTGAGCGTTGCGGCAAACTGAAGCCCTTGTCAGAGTGGAGTATGCACAAACTCACCTCTCTTCAACAATTCTACATTGCCGGTGGATATCCAGAGCTGGTCTCCTTTCCTCCTGATCATGACAATGATGACTACTGTCTATTTCCTACAACTCTAACCTTTTTACGCATCATCGATATGCCGAATCTGAAATCCATATCATTAAAGGGCCTCCAAAATCTCACCTCTCTTCAATCTCTACTTATCGGAGACTGCCCGAATCTGAAATCCATATCATCATCATCATCCAAGGGCAAGGGCAAGGGCGGTGGCCTCCAAAATTTCACCTCTCTTCAACGTCTACATATCTGGAATTGCCCTAAGCTTCGATCCTTACTAAAGGAAGGCCTGCCTGCCACGCTTCAATATTTAAGTATCAGCGGATGTCCACTTCCTGAAAAACAGTGCTCAGGTGACTACTGGCCCAAGATTGCCCATATTCCCCGCGTTGTAATAAATGACAGCTAGACTGAACCCCTTACTATTCTATATTCTTGTGTCAGGTAAGCTCATGTTCTTCACACACTCTTCTCTCATGCCTCTCATTTTAATCTTTCATAACCAAAATGCTTCATTAGGTCCACAATTTTCGACTTAACCAAAATGAATTTTCTCCATTGCAGAATAATGGTCCACAATTTTACATTTATGGAGTGCTTGTGTTGCCTAATGAACTTGAACAAGTACAATTAATTAATGAACTCTTCATTTTCATATCATATGTTTAGCCTTTTAAATATTTTGTTCATGACGTCCTCCTACACAAATATTTATTTCTATTTATCTATCTGTTCATCTAGCAAAATAGAAACAAAATAAAAATAGTATGAAATAAATCTGACACTTTGTTCAGTAATATGAATCACTTTTCAACAGCCTGTTGGGCTAATTTTTTTGAACATTAAACTGCTGTCACGAATTTTATAAGAATAACAAGTGAATTTTGCATCTTGTTAAGGAATTGTCTAAATGTCTTTACATCTTGGAGTTTCAGATAATTTCCACATGATGCATAACATTATTGTTGACAGAGCTAGTTGTCACGAAGTTATGGTTTTTATTTGAAAGATTAGATTGCTTTGTACTACAGGGGGTAACAGGCCAAAGATGCGTGCATCGGATCGTCATTCCATGGTGATGTTAAAAGCTCCAACCCGTTTTTGTTGAAGACATGAGAAAATTTTTGGTACTTGAGGATAATTACATTGTCCATTTTGAGGTATTTTCTTCGGCATCACACTGAGCCATAATTTCTTTTTTCTTCTGGTTGGTTTTTGTCTTATTCTTTTTGAAGATTACCCTCCTCTAAAATTGATGATAGAATATTAGCGATTGGTAAACATAATAAAAACATTTTACTTTTTCTAATTGAACCATCAAAATTCTTTAAGTTAAAAGTGCTCTGGGTATCATTTTGGAAGGAGTGCTGTTATGGCTAAATTTAAGGTTAAAACTTTAAAATATCTTGTTGAAAGTAGTGTTGTTAAAACAAAGGGCTTGAAAGTTCTTGTTAGAAATTAGAAATGTCCCATCTCCTCTTCCAATTAACTCACTCACTCCAGTGTTTTAGGATCCCAACTTTTCTCTGTGATTCCATTTCCAGTATGCTTGCAATTTTTATTTGGAGTGGTAAAGAGAGATCTTCAACTTTTATAAAATCTAGAAATAATATGAAGCTATAAAAATATTGTTCTCTCACTGGCTTGGACTTGTGAATCTCAAATAATAATAAAGTGTATTAATGAACGCGTTAAGTTAATAATTGAACATCTACTATGTCATATTCCAACTTATGACTCCTCAATTACCAGGTGTATTTAAGATAATCTCATCTACCTTAAATTAAATTGTGAACATTAGTAACCACACCCTCTAATTGGTTATATTGTAGGAAAACGAAAAGAACTTCCATTTTGAATCTCACTCATTCAATGGAGGCTAATACAACAACTTTATTTGAGGTTAGCAAGTGCTTCACTTAATTCTCTAACCAAATCAACAAGAAGAAACACAAGAATGCGTATTTTTGTTTTCCTTTTCCTTCATTTTCTCAACAACCAAACACCTCCTAATAGAATTCTGTGACTAAATACTTTATGTCAGAATTGCAGGTTGGGATGCTAAATTGGTGAATGAGTCGTACCCATGGATTGAGAAGCAAATTGTTTACCGGCCAAAGCTGGGCCATTGCAGAGAGCGGTGAGGGACAGTCTTTTGGAAGTTGGGGTCTTACCCTTCAATGGATTCACCTATGATCACATAACTGGAGCCAATGTTGGTGGAACCATTTTTGACAAGTTTGGTCACTGTCACACAGATGCAGAGTACTTGCTTCCGCAAATTCTGAGAACTTTCATGTTTTGATTCATGCTACATAACAAAAGATCATATTCAATGTAACAGGTTTGTCAGTTACTTGACCCAATATAGGATTCTAGTCCCAAAAGTCATAAATAAACCAGAAAGATTGGCAACTAACTATACAATGTGTACGTACTTGTTAACAGGCAGTAATGTGTCTACAGGGAAGAAACCAATGGGCGCTGGAGTGATCTTCATGGATGAAAATGGTAAAAAACATCGATAATTTCTTGCAAAGAGGCCGAGCAGTGAGATATTAGTGTCGTGTGGAGCAATTGGAAGCCCTCAGCTGCTGCTACTCAGTGGCATTGGACCCAAGGCCGACCTCAAGAAGATGAACATTTCAGTGGTGCTTGATAATGAGTCTGATAACCCCTTGAACACTGTTTTTATTCCCGCCAATCGATCTGTGGAGCAGACATGGATACAAACCGTAGGGATTACCAAGATGGGTATGTCCTTTGATAGTAGTTCTTGTTACCATTAAGGGATGTCCATGGATTTGAAAGAAATGCATTGGTTGAGTACTTATGAGGCTACTGTCTCTAATCTTGCAATTTTACCAAAAATATGTGTTTGAAAGCCTCAGAGAAGAATGACTTCTAAGGAACACAACTAGAATGGTTGCACATGGCAATTGATATAAATTTTCTCCCCATTCCCCCTATCATCTCTGTTTAATCTCTTGAAAGCAAGTCTACATGCATATCTAAAAATCAATTTGACACAAAAATTGACGGACTATATAAAACTATCTGTGTGTGTAACTGCAAATTATGTGTAATTGATAGAATACTTATTGAGCTATGTACACACACAAGTAACTGCATGTTGTGTGTAATGAACCAGATTGGGCAGCTCTCTACTATACCTCCAAGACACACAACACAGGAAGCCATTCAAGCCTACAGAAAAAACAAGAGAGACCTTCCCCGTGAAGCATTCATGGGAGGCTTCATTCTAGAAAAGATTGTCAACCCCATTTCAACAGGTCAGCTCAGGCTGATCAACAATTCAACACCACTGACAACCCCACGCGTGATCTACAGTGATGTGTTGAAGGTATTCGTATCATGGAGAAGCTTGTGAGCTCCAAACACTTCACAAACTTCACACTGTTTGATAGACAATCTGTGGACAAGCTGCTCAACATGAGTGTGATGGCTAATGTTAACCTTATACCAAAGCACACTCATGGCACAGTCTCATTTGAGCAGTTTTGCAAAGACACTGTGATCACAATTTGGCACTACCACGGTGGGTGCCTAGTGGGCAAGGTGGTGAGCCCTGAGTACAAGAGGTACTCGGCGTCCATGGGCTCCGTGTCATTGATGGCTCGAGATTTAGCAATTTGCCAGGCACTAATATTCCACAATCCACTGTCATGATGATGGGCAGATAAGATCTTAATACAATGTATAGATATATCTTATAAAAGATTGTCTAGGTTCTTATTTTTCTGTTCTGCCTCTGTGAATTTAGGAGAGAGAGTAATAAGCACAAATGGTTTAATCTCATGATTTGGACTTGTACAGGTACATGGGAGTGAAGATTTTAAGAGAGAGAGAGATTAGGAAGAGCAGCTGGTTTATAAAGACTGATCAAGACCGACTAAGGGCAGATGCATGTGTATGTTGTGATAGGGAAAATGTAATTTTGTTAGTCTAATTCTTAGTGCAATAATATGTAGAGATAGGTGTTCAATAATCAATATAGGTGTTCAGTTCTTTTGTATCTATGGTTTGTATAAGAACCAAATTTTATTTATGAAGTCACTTGTTGGTCTTTTTGCTGATTCACTTCCATTTTTTCAAAGTTTCATGTTTAGTTTACAGTTTAATCTGAGCAGTTACATTGTTTGATATTGAACACGTGATGTTGAACTATCTGGAGTAATTACACTGTCAAAAGCTTAATCCAGAACTATATGGAGTAGTTAGACTGAATTTTATGAATGTTGAATAAAGTTTTTGTTGGACGCATCCCCTTATTTTCAAAGATAAGGTATTTTGGTCGAAAACAACCATAACTCGGATGAGTGGGGTACTTAAGATAAGGCTGCAATTTAAGCGGATTAGAAGATATAACCCGAGTCTAATCCTTTCGTTAATATTCAATATTGATTCACAATCAATT